ACACGCTCAAGAGCCTTTATCATACAAAACCAAGAAAATGAAGCAAAACAAAAATGCCTCACCTTTCTCTGCTGCTGACATAACGTGGGTCGATTCTGTGGGTTCAGGAGCTTCATCGAGAAAAAATAAAAAAAATAGAGGTGGGGTGGTACGCGATTGTTTGTGTGTGAGAGATAGAGAGTGAGAGAGAGAGAGAGAGAGAGAGAGAGAGAGAGAGAGAGAGAGAGAGTGTGTGTGTGTGTGTGTGTGCGTACGTGTGTATGTGTGAGAGAGAGAGAGAGACAGTGAGAGAGAGAGAGTGTGCGTGTGTATGTGTGTGTATGTGTGTATGTGTACGTATGGGTGTGTGTGTGTGTTTGTTGGGGTGGGATGGGGGGGGGAGGGGGGTAGAGAGAAGATAACCATTAGTAAAGCAATCGGAACTCTCATATCCTACGAACGACATCAAAATAAGAAAGTTTTCGATACCAAACGTAGATGTATTATATTCTTTTTCCAAATTGTTGTACATCGAAAAGCCTAATTTTTTTAAATCTTTTAAATTTTCACTCTCCTTTTTTGTGTTTTGCGTTTTCTCTTCCATTTGACTTTTCCTGCAAAAAAGGGATTCTCCTTAATTTACGTACTATTCGTAAACATAATATGTAGCCCACTGTTTAATTAGTATGGGGGCAGAATCGCCATGAGAAGCTAATGTGTGTGTGTGTGTGTGTGTGTGTGTGTGTGTGTGTGTGTGTGTGTGTGTGTTTGTGCGTGTGTGTGTGTGTGTGTGTGTGTGTTTTCCGCAAAGCAGTCACTATTTTCAAGACATACAGTTCTCCCAGCTTAATCTATTATTTTGAGTTCGTTTTTCTCAAAGTAAACTTTCCCACATCTTCGGTCCTGGGAAAAGCACATACGCAAATTTTCCTATTTATCTCATTTTTTGCTTTTCTCAGATGAACGTGAAATTTGGCGGTCCCGGCTCTTCCCGTCTAAGCGTTGCAAAGGAAGTCAGACATATTATTCAATTTCGTACATTTTCCACCCGTCCAATTTTGTAGGCTTATCCGAGTTTTGATGAAAAAAAATCTATTATTTCAATTTGGAAGTTTGAAAATATCCCTTAAAATCTAAGTGCCTTTGTGATAATTGTGAGTGCTCTGGTTGCAGTAATCAAGACCTTTCTTGTTGAGTCTCCATTTGAATAACAATGAAAATAGTTCATAACAAAAGTGAGCTTAAAGAAGAAGTCACATTTTCACAGTTACAAGAAAGCACCGATGAGGTCGTGAGTTGTTGAACAAGCTACTCTTAAGTCAACCTTGAGAATCAATCAAGATCAGTGCTTACTAACGTAAATCAAAACTTTCCAAATTGCTTTGGTTCCTTTTTTTTTAAACTCAATAGAACACAGACTAACTTCATTATTTCCGGCCGAGCCTCTTTTATCCTTACCACCACAAGCCTTTTGTTCCACTTGACTGCTGATAGAGGAAAGTTCCGAGAATCCCGTGACTGAGAACAGGAAATCGTTTGCAGGCTTACTGGCCAAGTCTTGCAGCTGGGTGTTGTTTGGGCTGTATACATCACGGGGGGGGGGGGGGGGTAGAGGAAAGTGAACACGATGAAAGGGGAAGGGGAGGAGGTGGAAAAAGAAATATGGTATGTGGAAGAGAAAAGTATGAAGCTTTAGTTTCGTTTTGATGGGGCAAAGATTGATTTATTTTACAAACACATACGCGCATACACACACACACACACACACACACACACACACACACACACACACACACACACATACTCATGCATACACATACACACACACACACATACACACACACACAAACGGATATACACACATACGCATACACACACACATACACACACACACACATACACACACACACACAAACGGACATACACACAAACGCATACACACACGCTTATACATAATACGCACACACCCGCACTTATACACTCACGAAATATACACACACACGCGCGCGCGCGCATACACACATAAACACACGTACACAAATACACACATACGCGTCCGCGTGCATATAAATCTCTCTCTCTCTCTCTCTCTCTCTCTCTCTCTCTCTCTCTCTCTCTCTCTCGCTCGCTCGCTCGCTCGCTCTCTCGCTCGCTCTCACTCTCCGTTCTCTCTCTCGCTCTCGGTCAGATAGATAGATCGGTAGATAGATAGATAGATAGATAGTTTCAATTACAGTTTGTTTCTAGCCGAAAATGGTTTCTATTGTTTCACCTGCCGACACCAATGACAATGATTTCCACCCCATCCTCTCGGGCGAGATATGCAGCTTTGGACGCCTCTGCCTGATCGCTGGACGCACCGTTTGTGATGATGATTAGCTTGTGAGAGACACCTGGAGTAAAGAACGGGTACGTGCTTAAGGTCAGCTTTTACAGTCAGAGTTAATTTTATGGTCAGTAATAAATGGTCGGTTCTTATGATGAGTGCTTACGGTTTGTGCATAAATGTGGTCAGTCTATATCCTGTTCTTCTGGTTAGTTCTTATGGTCAGAACCTGTGCTTATTACTTCATTTCAGTTCTTACGGTTTTCACATTTTATGGTCAAAGCTTTATGCCTTGGTCTTATGGTCAGAGTTTATATTATTAGTGCTTATAGTCAATGCTCATTGTTAGAGCTTATGGTTAGTGCTTTACGGTTTGTGCATATGGCCAAAGCTTATGTCTTGCTGCTTTGGTCATTTCTTATGGTCAAAGCCTATGATTTGTGCATATTAATAGTTCTTAAGGTCAAAGCGTATGTCTTGCTCTTATCATTAGTTCTTATGGTCAGTTCTTAAGTTCAGAACTTATTACGGTCATTATCTACGGTCAGTTTTTATGGTCAGCGCTATTGTCAGTGTTTATGGGTTGTATTTATAGTAAGAATTTACCGTCAGCTCTTATGGTCAGTACCTATAATGAGGGCTTATGGTCAGTGATTACGGTTTGTGCATATGGCCAAAGCTCATGTCGTATTCTTTTGTTTTAGTAAGGTTTTACGGCGCTCGTTACTACATAAGGTCAAATGAGCGCCAACGGGTGGATGTCAACAGAGAAGTCCAAATGAGGAATCAGGCCTACTCTGCTTACCTTTCTAGCCTCAACAGCACAATCATATTTTTTTAGTCAGTTCTTGTGATCAGTTCTTACGGTCAGTTCTTATGATCAGTTCTTATGATCAGTTCTTATGATCAGTTCTTATGATCAGTTCGTATGGTCAGTTCTTAGGGTGACTGCTGATTGCCGTGCTTACTGCTTACAGTCAATGTTAATTACAATGTCAGTGCTAAGGATCAGTACTTTATGATGTTTCGTACCTGTCCTTACTGTCAGTACAGTAATAATTGCCTGTTCTTATATTATGTTCTTATTCTTGGTGCTTATGGTCTTTTCTCGTCTGGTTGTATGGTTAGAACGCACGGTATTTTCTTGTCTGTTCTTATGGTCAGTGCTTATAATCTGTTCTTATGGTTGTTGCTTATGGTCAGGGCTTATCGTCTGTGTTCATGATCATATCTGGATTAAGTATATATGTTAAGCATAAACATCTCCATTGAGGACAAAACTTGAAGAATTCATAAACTAGTTGATGTGATAGCCTGTTTAACAACAGAGCTGTTGGGACTTGACTGGTATGCTGATCAACAGAGTCGGTTTACCTGGCCTTTGGTGGCTGATCAGCGTAGAATGGGCATAACTAATAGCTTTGCCTATATTTGTCTCGTCCCCGCTTCCCTGGTGAACAAAGTCCAAAGCGTGCTCCACCTACATTGGAAAGAGAGAAAGAGAGAAAGGGGGGGGGGGTAATGCCGGATAAAAAACCAACTCTTGTTCAGGTCACATAAAAAAGGAATTAAGTGCCAGCAAGTTTGCAGTCTGAATTGTAGAAAATGTTTTCTTTTTATATATTATGCTACAAAGTGTTTTTGCTGAGTGTTAAAACAACGTTTAAAATTGAAAAACAAATCTATACCGATTTTACGTAACCGTGTGTTTTACTTAACGCCTTGTGCAAATTAGTAATCAAATCTCACAATTTTCTTCCTGACTTGAAGTAAGTAAAGCTAAGTTCAGAACTTAAGAGCAGAAAATAATAAGTAAGCCAAGAAGAGATTTTTACAGGAAAAAGCTTGTTTCCGAACACCGTGAAACGTACAGGGTGATCCCAAAACAAAAACAAAAAACAGTACAACTTTTGTTCTGAATATCTCGCAAAAAAGTTGTTCTAGAATGCTGTAATTTGAAACCGACATAATTAATTCAAAAGGAATTTGTTTGACATAAAATCCAGAAAGAAGACACTTATTTCGAAAACGGAAATGGCTTAAAGAAAAAAGCACCCAAAAACGCAAAGTTCACCAATTTATAAAAATCTTGTAAAGGGAGTCGTGAAAAGATTGGTTGACTTTTTTTTCTCCATTTTCTCTTTAACATTAAATTTTTCCATCGCTGTAACATAATATAAACAATATCTAATTTCTGTTACTGAGTTTAAAAAGCTAACGATTTAATTCTGGAATTCCTAGAAACAGTGCTCTATTGTCCTCCTTTAGACTCGCCACATTTTTAACGCGTCGCTCGAAATGTTCAATGTCGCCCAAACACAAGGACCTTCTAGCCTGTTTTAAAGCCACATACACTGTACATATTCAGTATGAAGTGGCTTCTAGAGGCAAAAGGAAGTGGGGTACCCAACAGACAGCATCTTTGGAGCTATATTAACATATCATCCTGCAGGGTGAAAATGGGCTTTGCACTAAATCAAATGTCATCGAGGAAATTATCCCGCTTTTCAAGACAATCGATCAATCATGAACGCATTGCCAAGCTCTGATCCATGTCATCTCGGCCTAATGAAGATGAAAATGGTACAGTAGTAGGTTAAGATCTGCCATGAGAATGTAGACTGTTGAGGTGTAGTAGAAAAGTCCTAGCTGAAGATGGTCTACGAGCAGACGTCTCATGGGACTCGACTACTGAAATCTGCACCCTGGTGGCGTTTAAAGGGCTGCTTATGGTGCGTGTTCGGCCTGAAGTGGTCATTTTTTAAAGGAAAGTTTTAGTTCTGATTCGCTATAGATCCAAACGGATGGGACTTCACTACTCATGACACCAAAGGTGTTGAGGGCATCTACGCATTTATTCCCTACCGTGCACAGAACTTGCGAAATGTCAGGGATGGTGAGTTTGTGGAGAGGTAATGTTCACTACAAAAAGCTAGATCTATCTGCTTTTTACTAAACTTACCTTGATCTCAACAGGTAAGCAAAATTTGGAGAGAAAAAAACTATATCTGCAGACTTTTGTTGACTTGTTAGACTGCTGTAGCTTACAAGATGGCGCGATTGTTGCAACACTTAGTGATAGACTTAATGCGAAGTGGTGCGTCATGATACGAAAATGGCGACAAGGTTGAAAATGGGTTGTTTTTTTAAATACGCCATAAGGAGCAAAACCATTCTATGGACTTATCTAAAATGAATATCAGACAAATTCCTTTTGGCTTCCAAATATTCTATTCAAATCTGAAACGCAAAACTTCAGTATGGAGGAAATGATTTACAAATCAAGTTGTACAGTTGATTTTTTAAATTACCCAGTATTATTTCCAATCAAATTATTAGATCATTCGTTTAGACAGCTGTTCAGTATCGTGAAATTTGATTGGCTGTCACAGAGATCCAATTTTCCGTACCGATTACTGTGGTTGGTGGGCCACATATAATTTCAGCCTTTTGATAAGACTGCCCCAACCGTACTTATAACTTTTCGATGCAGTTAAGGTTGGGGAATTTTGGTGCATTTTTGTTGTGCCTTGATCCATTTGCAAAAAAAAACTTTAAAAAACCCTTATAGAAAACCACCAAAGGGCCACAAGTCAGATTAACAAGTGTACCAAGGCCTACATCTATTTACGTATCATAACCCACTTAGACTAGATTCGCATTCTGTTTCTTAAATAACCTAATAGTAATAGTGTTGATAGGGGCTTTAAACCCATTAACTAGCTGTCTAGAAGACAGATATAGGTAGAATGTCAACTTGAACAAAATTTTAAGAGATAGGGCGCTGGAATCAAAGGGACCCTTCAAAGGCACAATATGAAGATTCATAAAGCAATACACATGGCCCATGTCCAACAATTGCATCTCCACACGGCACATCGCGGTATAAGAGCACAGAAAAATAAAAAGTAGGTTGTATCCAATTAGAGCTTACCTCTGCCAGTGAGTTGTAAGCTCCGAAGTCAAACTCCGTAATTAACTTTTTACCAAAGGTGGCGAGGGCGACTTTGGTACCGGCCGCGCTAATGTCAAACTGGGCCACCAGCCCCTTCACAAAGCTGATCATTTCCCTGAAGTTGGTGCTCAGAATACTTCGAGAATCTTCCAGCAGGAACATGATGTCCGTAGGCTGGCGGCATGAGCTGTGCCTTCCTATAAGAAAGTACGTTGTAGGCAGAGAGGTAGGTAAAGTAGTTGGCAATAGTGGATGGCGATGTAAGAATGTAAAGGAGACTGCAATAGACCCTAGTTCCCTACCCCTTCCAAGCTAAAGGCCATATCAATTCACAACAACTGCTTTCGTCATCATGTACTTGCACAATTTTACAACTTACCCCC